TGTTTTGAAGTTTTGAATTGCATAGATTGTGAATAAATGTTCAACCATCCTGCATTTTATATGTTTGTTACATGTTTTAAACCAGTTTGCAAAAAAACAAATAAAAAAGGTAAAACATTCCCCAATTCATTAGCTTGTCTTTGTGCAAGATTAGTATATTTACTTCTTCCCAACCTAAATCCTTCCACTGTCACTGACTCACTTCAACTTATCCTAAGTGTTCCCAAAGCATTCCTCTGGGTAGAGAGGAGATAGTCCCTTATGGATTTGTCCTTGAGCTTCTCTCTCAGTTGGATGTGCCTGCAAAACTTTTAAAGGTAGATGGTGAGGAGTAATCCGAACTGGATGCCCTAAACCTGTGCTTTTGAAACTGAGGGCCACCAGGCGGGCTTTTAAAACTTGGAATAAATGTAAGAACAAAAATATGCACACATTTTTTTTATTTAATTTGGTTATTTTATCATTATTATAATATGTTTTGAAATTATTGCAAATTACAACTTGTGATAATATATAATTTTCTCTTTAAATGCCGTGAGGATTTAAAACATCACCTTGAGACTCTTCCTTTCATTGTACGAACAGACCCTCCCATCTGACAGAGCATATAAATGTGTTTTTTTAGGTTTTTAATAGCTTACCGTGTGAGCCGTACTTTTTCACTCTACATGCCCTTCAGACAAAACTTGGAGAGCGTCTATATGGGAAAATTGTCAGGTTTGGCACTAAGACATTAAGACAATCCTTCTCGCTACAAACACATTACGTTTAAAAGTTTTTCGGACCTATAAAACAAAGTTAAAAACTTGTTAGGTAATGATATTATGCTAAATCACAATCAGAGTCAAAAATACTTTAATAATCCCAGAGGGACATGACTTTTGTTACACGCTCCAGATACAGTTTTATATACATATATACACAACAAACCACACAAGATAATAAAAATATAAACATATACACATATAACTCTTCTATATATATATATATATATATATATATATATATATATATATATATATATATATATATATATATATATATATATATATATATATATATATATATATATATATATATATGCACATTTATATATATGCATATGTATAACTATGAATCCAAGTAAAGTGATAGTGACATTGTGAAAAAATAGTGCAAGGAATGAATATATTTTAAAACATTCCTATGGTTCAGCTTTTTTGTGCATATTTTGTAGCATTTTCTGCTTGTTTTCAAACTGGTCCCCAGCTAAAGCCTAAAGCTGGAAGGGAGCGGCATGGAAAAGTTTGGGAATTCCTGCCCTAAGTAACTCCTTTCAGCATGGAGCAATAGCTCTACTCTCAGTTCCTCCCTGCTAACAGAGCTCCTAGCCCTTTCTCCACCATCTATCTACTTGCAGATTTTTATTTAATTCTTGATATAGAGGCTTTTTAATAAAATAAAAGATGAATTTCTTTAAACTATAAAAACCATCTTTAAAAATAACAGTTAGTTGCAGAAACAACATTGTTTTAATGTAGCTTTCAGGATTTTAAAGACAAACAGGCATTAGACAGTGAAATCAAACATAGTGGTGGCAGCATCATACCGTATGCTTCTCTGTAGTATTTTTATTGGCTCTGGCAACAATTAATCTTGATTAAGAAAAAACAGTAATACTTAAAGATATTAGTTAACTTCTGAAACATTAAAAAAGCTTTTTTCGCTTTTTCCTCTTTGATTAAAAAAAAAATCTTTACACTAATGGAAAAAAAATAACTTCTGAAACACTAAAAAATAAAGTTGAGAGGGGAAAAAATTTAGATTTGTTACTTCTTTTTTTGTAGTTTTACACAAACTGATGTCCTTCCCTTGTAAATCTCAGACTTCAGATTTATTTTCATATTCTTTATTTTTTTTCTGTTAACTTACTGTCAAACCTTGTTTAGTATGTGCACTAATGTATTTCTTTGTTTTCCCTTTTTTCTCATTGATTTAAAAAATGAAAATAAAGTTGAGAGGGGAAATAAAAAATTTGGGGGGAGAACCGATGGTGTCATTTCTAGCTACATTTTTTTTCACTTTACTTTTTACAAAAAGGTGCATCAGTTCCTTATACTTAAGCTGCAGAAAACCTCTAAAAGGTCAGTGTATTTGTTTTAAGCTAAAGTCCTCTCTTCAACTTGTGTCTGCCGATCTGTGCCAGAGGAATTTTGCCAGCACATGACTAGTTTGTTTTGCCTTGTTTGTGGCTTTTGGCCTGCGTCATCAATTAGCTCATCTGAACGATTCATTTCACTGGTTTGGGCTTTGAGGGAGTTACACAACACTTACACCCGCTGAGTTGCAGCTTTTGGTCATTTAAATACCATATATTTCCAAATGATTCAACAGACATAGTTAGTTTCTGTGATATTTCTCTGCTGTACAGCCATGTGTGAAAGTTTGTTAGATAAATAACATAAAAAAAAGCTTTTCTTTCTTAAAGCTATTAAATGGACCATCCAGCCTCTCTTTCCACACGCTTATCTTTCAGTTTCTAGCCATTTCTTAAGCATTTCTAATTGAACATTTACTGCGTCAGTAAATTTAGGCGCTTGGAAGAATTCAAGTCAGAAGAGGAAGAAAACAGGTCTTTATTTACTCATTTTGGAGGCGCCTGTGTGTGTCGAGTGGAACAGTGAAGTACTGTTTGCATACAATAGAGCATTGTCCTGCCTATTGCTGCAGGACAGTTCCTGTGTATTTATTGGGATGTTGAAAATGAGAGCAAAAGCAGGTAGATTTGTTACTTCTTTTATGTAGTTTTACACAAACTGATGTCCTTCCCTTGTAAATCTCAGACTTCAGATTTAATTTCTTATGTTAACTTACTGTCAAACCCTGTTTAGTATGTGCAGTAATGCATGTCTTTGTTTTCGCTTTTTCCTCATTGATTAAAAAAAAAGCTTTACACTTATAGACAAAAAGAAACTTAAATCAGTAATTGAAGTTTTACAAATACAAAATTAGAGTTCCCTAATCATCATAATCTTAGATTTATTAGTAAAAGTTTAAATGCTTAAGTGAGGAAATGCTAGAATATGAATTATATTAATTAAAAATAAGTAAAGTCAGTGATTTTGAAGCAGAGCTACCATTTTTTTTTCCTTCCAGACTTTATTTTAGTTTCCTTTAGATTTGGTAGCTTTTGCAATTATTGGACTGCTTTGCCACCCTTCAACAATATGTACTCAAACAGTCCAGTCTTCACTATATACCTCAGAGTCATAGTGAAACAGTCAAGGGTATCTGCACATTTTATAAGTGAAAACTATTCAGATATGAGGAAGAGATTAAAAATAGCCCGATACCCAAAAACAATGGCGCTGCCCTTCGTATCTACTGTTTGCATTACAAAGCAGTATTTGTTTTTCGGCATTTTACACGTCAGCATGACCTCCTGAAACTGATACAGATCTGTTCTTCAGGATAAGTTCACTGTCTCATCTCACAGTCTGGATTTGGATGCAGAGATGAGGACAGGATATGAGTTTTCTTTCTACAGGAACCAGATGCATCCTCTTGTCCTGTCACACAATATAATGTGTTTTGTTTTTGGAAGCATTCAGAGTGTTATGCCATTTGCCATGATCATACTTTTTGGACAGTGGGAACCAGTGTCCATATTTCATCCTGATAGGATGACCAGAGAAGAAAACGCAGCGTTGGTGAATAACAGCTGGGGGACTTCAGCAGCCCCCCTTTTTCAGCCAAAGCAGTCACATGGAAGTCACAGAGGTGTGAAAACCTACCCCCCTCTGTGAGGGCAGAACAAAACCACAGAGCACACAGGATTCTTTCTCTTTTGCCTTTTCTTTTTCTCCCTCGTCTGATCCAGCCTGCTTTTGCTCCTGCTCTCAAAGCTGGGGCCCACTGTGGCCCACAGTGGAGATGCAGGCCCCAGGGAAACCAGATCCCCAGAACCATCAAGGATGAGTCAGAACTCTTCAGAACCTAACTGCTGCAAACAGAACCTTTGCAACACATTTCTCATGAGTTTCAGAACTTACAGAGCCAAACTGGATGAGGAGCATGCCCTGGTGTGAGACTGAGGGGACCCCTGCTGTGAGACTGAGACAATGAGTCCCTGACTGCAGAGCTGCAAAACTGGATGAAACTCAAGCTTTCCAAACGGACATGGAAAAAGGTTTGCAGGTCTGGCATGATTAGGGACAGAACAAGCAATGTGTCTTTTGATGATGCTAATCATATCGTGTGTTTACTGCGGAGTAAAGACAATTGATGCTAAAGAATGGACTGCATGCTACGCTATGCTACAGGAATATGTGTTGAGCTGTTGCTAAAGCTTAGACAAGCTTTATTCACTAAGGATTTAAACACTGATGTAACATTAGTGTTCATGTGTTCCTCAGATGCTCATTACATTTCCAATACCAAGTCTGACCAAGAGTCATTTAGTGGAATCCTGATGTCTATTCGCTGCTAGCTATTTCAAAGAGGGTAAAGAATCATTTAGCTAAAGGTTATTGGTTCTTGATTAAGCAAATCATTCAATAGAACATTATTTGGCCAAATAATGTTTTATTCACCTCATGGATTTGCATTGTGAATTGGTCTGAAAACATTCCAATGTCCTTAAAATTAGTGAAAAGCTAATTTGATCACATCCCAAATTCTTCCAGATAAACTTTGGTTTCAAACACAGAATCCATCTTAAACTGTAATATGGTTTTCAACCGTCTTCCCCTTCCTCTTTGTACATAGTAGTTAGTTTAGTTTAGTTGAGTTTTACTAGTCTTAGTTGAGAGTGTTAAACTGAAATATGTTTGACGTGGAGCTGAATGATTTTTATTAATAAAATCTTATATTTTGAACAGAAGTTGTGGTGAATTTATTCCATGTATGTGCAGAAATAACTGTTTGACCATGATTAGTGCTCGAATCACTCTTTCATCTATTGTTCTAACACACAGTTAGTAGGACTGTGTGTCATAAACAGTATATAACAGCTGAAATAATATCTGATTAAATAAGATATTTTACCACCCCTACAGGGGAGGGCAATAAACATCTTAAAGTATCAGAAACATAAATTCCCAGCGGGCTGGGAATAGAATTTAACTATAGAATCACAACATAAATATGGCGTCCCTGATTGCTGGGCCCATTATTTGTAACATTTATTTAGCGTACCATGCTACTGGGCTCATTGAATGTAACATTTAATTGGTGTCTCAGTTTGGTGGTCATCGAATATAACAGTTATTCTGCACATATATGAGAATAAACTTAGAGCCATTATTGAAAACCGTGTGAAAGCATTAACATCAGCTCTCACCACTCAATAATGAAATCTTAAACTCACAACTTAACAATCCAATACTAAATGTCTTAGCTTATATGAGAAGAAAATATAACCTTTGACATTCTTGGAGAATCAAAATATAGAAATTTAACAACATCTAATAACTCCAAAATATCTCTTCAGCTAGTGATAACCAACTTTACTTCAAAGCAAAACTCAGATGATTCAAATCAATCTGATCACTTTGGTCCAACTAAAACTAAAAGATTTAACTACCAAGTTAGTCTTATCGTTCGACCAAAATTTATGCACATCTATAACTAGATGCTGCCATTTGTGGTTTCAATAACCACATCCCAAAAATGAAAACTCCCAAGTTATGCTATTTCAAAGTCACCTCCAGTCCAAAATAGGTTAGATGCCTCGAAATTTAACCTAAATCCCTTTGTCTATTAGTCTAATAAGACTCCTAAACACTTATTTTATATTGTGTAGAACAAGATTTGTTGCCAGATTTAACGTAAGTTAATCTGTAGTCCTACCCGACCAAAAGGGGGTGGATTCAAATTAAATTGCTTAAAATCCCTTAAAGAAAGGTGAATCATAAGCTAAATTGCTAGTAAAACCTTAAAGGTTAAGCTTTGCGCCAAACTGCTTATAAATCCTCCGAGACAGGTAAAGCATGCGCTAAAATAGCTCATAAATCCTAAAACAAGGTATAGCATTTTTAACACTGAAAGAAAAGTGTTTCTTTGATATCACAGAAAAAGGTGAAGCATAAGCAAAATTGCTTGTAAGTCCTTAAAAGGTAAGCTTTGCGCCAAACTGCTTATAAATCCTCAGAGACAGGTAAAGCATGCGCTAAAATAGCTGGTAAATCCTAAACAAGGTGTAGCATTTCTAACACTGAAAGAAAAGTGTTTCTTTGATATCACAGGTTTAAAGATAACCTGTGACCCGTTTCTACACACATAAAAATAAGTCCTTACAATATGTGTATGTAAATATACAAGTATAGTGGGTACTGACTGGATTGTGTTCTTTTGAAATTTCTTCATAACTTGTGTTTTTGTGCCATCAGCTGAAAATGGATCCAAACATCCTCAATTCTGGGCACATCATTGACTCCATAGGCATAGAGAAACAGAAACAAATTGTTGAAAAGCTTATCCACTTATCTTCAGAAAAGCAGGATAACCTAAACAATTTTAACCTCAGCCTATGTGAAGAAAAGATTCAAGAATTAAGTAACTTAATTCAAAACCCAAATGGAAACTTTCTGATAACAGATGTACTCTGTGAGCTCACGCTACTTTATCAGCTTAAATACCAAATAAAAGCTAAACAGTACTCTGAGTTAGAAGCCAAATATCAGATGATCTGCCACAGAGTAAGTGCTGCAAACATTTTATTGTCAGGAGCTGACAAGATCAAAGACCCATGCGGCCAGACTGACCATGCCTCAGAACAAAAGGTGACCCTCCTCTCTCAGGAGCTATGCAATAAACAAAGCAAGCAGACTTTGAATCAGCAGGAGGTCACCCCAGTCGAAGGGAGAACAGTTCCTGAAGCAGATACAAAGTCTCTAAACTCTGAGTTAACACTAAATAGATCTGAAGATGTTCAAAGTCAAAGTAGTGTTGCAGACAGAGAGAAACAAGTAGATCACTTGGTAAACTCAAGCAGTTTAAAATTTTGCAAAGGACAACCATGCAAACCAATCTCTGACTCACACTCCGCTGACCGAGCATCAAGTGCCAAAGTTCACACCTTGAAAAACTCTGAGGAGAACCAGTCTCCCTTGTGTCATCAAAGGTTAGCTCAAAACCCCCCACCACTTAATGAGCAGAACCAGCTTCCTGACGGGCCAGGTCCACCGAGTGACCATAGAATTCAACAACTTGAATCCTTGGCCAAAGACATTGATATTTTTGACCCAGAAAGTCAACACTCAAACATAGCTGATTATCTGCAAGAAGTTGAGCACTGTCTGAAAGACTTGCCATTTCCTTCTTCTCATGAGAAATTGAAGCTGATTTGGAAAACAACAGCTAGAAGCGTCCATGTTTTCATAAAATCTCTTCCTCCAAAAATCAGAGAAAGTTATTCAGCTCTTTGTCAAACCTTAAGAGAAGAATATTCTGGTTACAGAGATCCGGCGTTAGCAACGCTTGAGGCATCTTTAGTTCTCCAAGGAGAACATGAAACACCCAGAGAATATTACTTTCGCTTGAGACAGGTTTATTTTGAGGGCTGCAGTTCTCCAGATATTGACGAAGAAGATCCCACATTTAAAGCATTGTTCATCCAAAATCTACATGAAAATGTACGATATGATGTAGCAATGCATTGCAGGATAGAAAACCTTTCTATTCAGGAAACTCGCAGATATGCTCAGCTTGTTTGGGAAATACGTCTCAAATCAGATAGATTTCAAAGCAAGCTTAGAGTCTTTAACCTTCAAACAAAGAACAGGACCAGAAACAGACACAGATTCAGTTCCCCAGTGGTTCACCAAGATGAAGGAATTAATTACTTGAGAGAACGAAAACCTGAACCCCCAGATAAAGGTCATAAGCCTTCACATCACAATGCAAAACCAAAGGTTTACACTGGTAAAGGGGGGTATCAACAAGCTACAGAAACAACAACAAAAGAAAACTTAGAACTGATCTGCAAAACAGTTCTTACAGAGCTACTGGCTTCTCTGACCAATCACAAAGTACTACAATTCCAAGCTAATGGTAAAACTTATCATATCCAAGAATATGATAGTTCCTGATCATTTCTAACTTACTTTAACCTGTTTAATCCTTTCTTTCTTTTGTTTCACAACTTGAGAAATGATGAAGGTTGAACAACAGCATCATGAAGGTGTTAGGAAATTTTGTTTGGAATTTATATATTTGTGTATCAGGGTCAGACGTTCCTGCCAGACCTGCTTCAACCAGATGCAAAACCTCTGGAGAAAATGAACTGTTTTATGATAAGATAGGGTCAGCTTCTGCCAGACCTGCAACAAATCATCCAGGGACAAACACTGGAGAAGATATGAACCCTAAATGAACTTTCTTCCTGCCAACAGGAACCTGACTCATCACCGCTCCAGATATCATGGCTTTATGGACTTATTTGTTGATCTGAAAACAAAGAACTGCATCTTTTATTTCCAGATCAAAAAGGGGGAATGTTATGCCATTTGCCATGATCATACTTTTTGGACAGTGGGAACCAGTGTCCATATTTCATCCTGATAGGATGACTAGAGAAGAAAACGCAGCTTTGGTGAATAACAGCTGGGGGACTTCAGCAGCCCCCCTTTTTCAGCCAAAGCAGTCACATGGAAGTCACAGAGGTGTGAAAACCTACCCCCCTCTGTGAGGGCAGAACAAAACCACAGAGCACACAGGATTCTTTCTCTTTTGCCTTTTCTTTTTCTCCCTCGTCTGATCCAGCCTGCTTTTGCTCCTGCTCTCAAAGCTGGGGCCCACTGTGGCCCACAGTGGAGATGCAGGCCCCAGGGAAACCAGATCCCCAGAACCATCAAGGATGAGTCAGAACTCTTCAGAACCTAACTGCTGCAAACAGAACTTTTGCAACACATTTCTCATGAGTTTCAGAACTTACAGAGCCAAACTGGATGAGGAGCATGCCCTGGTGTGAGACTGAGGGGACCCCTGCTGTGAGACTGAGACAAAGAACCCCTGACTGCAGAGCTGCAAAACTGGATGAAACTCAAGCTTTCCAAACGGACATGGAAAAAGGTTTGCAGGTCTGGCATGATTAGGGACAGAACAAGCAATGTGTGTTTTGATGATGCTAATCATATCGCGTGTTTACTGCTGAGTAAAGACAACGCTAATTGATGCTAAAGAATGGACTGCATGCTACGCTATGCTACAGGAATATGTGTTGAGCTGTTGCTAAAGCTTAGACAAGCTTTATTCACTAAGGATTTAAACACTGATGTAACATTAGTGTTCATGTGTTCCTCAGATGCTCATTACATTTCCAATACCAAGTCTGACCAAGAGTCATTTAGTGGAATCCTGATGTCTATTCGCTGCTAGCTATTTCAAAGAGGGTAAAGAATCATTTAGCTAAAGGTTATTGGTTCTTGATTAAGCAAATCATTCAATAGAACATTATTTGGCCAAATAATGTTTTATTCACCTCATGGATTTGCATTGTGAATTGGTCTGAAAACATTCCAATGTCCTTAAAATTAGTGAAAAGCTAATTTGATCACATCCCAAATTCTTCCAGATAAACTTTGGTTTCAAACACAGAATCCATCTTAAACTGTAATATGGTTTTCAACCGTCTTCCCCTTCCTCTTTGTACATAGTAGTTAGTTTAGTTTAGTTGAGTTTTACTAGTCTTAGTTGAGAGTGTTAAACTGAAATATGTTTGACGTGGAGCTGAATGATTTTTGTTAATAAAATCTTATATTTTGAACAGAAGTTGTGGTGAATTTATTCCATGTATGTGCAGAAATAACTGTTTGACCATGATTAGTGCTCGAATCACTCTTTCATCTATTGTTCTAACACACAGTTAGTAGGACTGTGTGTCATAAACAGTATATAACAGCTGAAATAATATCTGATTAAATAAGATATTTTACCACCCCTACAGGGGAGGGCAATAAACATCTTAAAGTATCAGAAACATAAATTCCCAGCAGGCTGGGAATAGAATTTAACTATAGAATCACAACAAGAGATTTAAGAAGTCTTGCTTTCTTCCTCCTCATTCAGAGCCTATATTATATATCCTTAATATTGCATTTCTAGCAGAGAGGAAATAACTTGACATGTTTTTCCTCTTTCTCTCTCTATATAGTTGAAGAAATGTGTGACACTACCATGTTTGTACACTTCTGTCCAGTTTTTCTTGCACTTTTATGTGTTTTAAAAAAAATAATAACTGGATAAGCTCTGGGAGAAGCAAAGTTGCATTTGTTCAACTTGGAGTCAGTTTTTTTAAGACCCAAGGATAGACATGCTTACTAGTGAAAATATTTCAAACCCCCACCCAACTACAAACCCACAGAGAAAGCTAACGCCTTCACAGCTTGTGTACAGCATACTAAGCATGAATTTAGCACCAGTAAAAATATTAACTTGGACAAAAAAGAACAATCTAGGTAGCCACTTTCTTCAAGGACTGTTTTTTTTTTTTTTTTAACCCCTCGGCAGATGGCCGCTCACACTGAGCCTGGTTCTGCTGGAGGGTCTTCCTATTAAAAGGGAGTTTTTCCCTCCACTGTCGCTACAAGCATGCTTAGTGTGAGGGATTGCGTTCAAGTCAATGAGTCGATGCAATGAAGTGGTTTTCCTTAGATAGAAAACTTTGAATCAGTTTGACTGTATGATCTGGTGAACTGTAAAGTGCCTTGAGATGACCTGTTGTGAACTGGCGCTATATTAATAAACTGAATGGAATTGAAAAGAAAGTATATACAAACAAACCAAAAAAAAAATCTTCCACTTCACATTCAAGGTATAAGCATCATGTAAACAGCTAGTTTGATACTAGTGGAGACTGGTTTATATGGCCAGTTTGATTTAAAACTTCATAAGTTCATAAGGCAGCAACAGATAATTTCAAACCGTGGGGTTTATGGCCCACTGGACTATTTATTTTTTATTTTAAAAAAGTCAGAACTCTAAACAGCAAGAGGAATGTGCCTTATTATGTCTAGGCCCAGGTTACATGAGGCTCTTAACCAGCCTTGGTAGTCAAGGCTTTGGTTGCCTAGCAACCCTTGGTCGCTCGCATAGGCTGCAGTTTGAGCCCCTCCTGGAAGTTTTTCGGTTTTCCATTTCCCATCTTAGACTTAGGAGAAATTTCTCATGACCCGCCTCTCCCTTCCACCCATCAGCCCAAGTCCAGCCCCCTGCCCATTCGGTCCAGGGTCGCAGAACCTCTCGGACACGTCCCAGAGAGCTGCGTGCTTACTGCAGCGGAGAGCGGAGGAACACACCGCGGGGCGGAGGGATACAGAGAGCCGAGGGACGACCCCCGCAGAAAAACAGCGAGACGGGGAAACACTCCGAGGTAGGAACTTTTCTGCTCTTTCTTTTCTAAAACTGTATAAATCAATAAAAAAACTTTGCCATTGTTCTTGTCCTCAGTTCGGACGGATTTAAATTTTTTCTTAAGTTCTTTTTTTTCCTTTCAGACAAGAAAGAAAAAAAATATTCGCACATAAGTTAATTCATAGGGGCAAACAGTGTAAAAGAGAACTTCTGTTTTGCTTTTATTAACTATTTTTTTCATGATAGATTATATATGCATCCCCTCCCACAAAAAAAAAAAAAAAAAAAAAAATCATAAATGCGATGGAGTGTGTGAGACAATAGTCAAAAGCGTTACATAGACTTTTGTGGTCCTATCTGGAAATAAAGTTCAGGAAGGCTCAAATAAATTAGGATTAAACTCAAGTTTCGAACAGAAAGAGAGAAAAACTCACAACCTGTTTGTAATTACTGGTAATTAATCATTAAAGTCGGATCACACGTCTTTCATGTCTTGATTCATTAAACCCTTAAAAAATGTCATGAAAATGCATTTTATAACCTGGGAGCATCAAATACAGGCATGTGACAAAAAAATTAAATTACTTAAAATTAATAACGCTCACATTTTAAGAAAAAGGGGCTCAAGAGCTTTAAAGTTATACAAAGATTATTATTCTAAGATAGTTATTAATGAAGTAATCAAAATCTGAAGTCACAAAGTCAAGAACTAAAACTTTTCACCAGTTCACCAGTTTCACCAGTTATTCTTCAGAAATAATTATCATAGCTCATTGAAATTTTCAGGACTTAATAGTTGTATGATTTACTTTCTGAATTTCAAATGAAAAGTAAAAAACAATTCTTAATTAAATAATCAGCTATTTTAATTACTCATCGCCATCTACAGACAGAGTGGAATATACATATTCCATTTACATAACCTTTTGTGAACTAAACAATTATTATTATATATCTACAAAGTTAAACTAAACTTCTCCAGTGAAGTAATCAATACTTATTAACAATTAAAAGATCAGTTTTTAGAGGGTTATATTTGCTGAGGAAAATAAAAAAGTATACGTTTATATATATATATATATATATATATATATATATATATATATATATATATATATATATATATATAATTGTTCTACACGTAAATTGATGACACAGTTACTCTCCGAAGTTTCAATTAAATTGAGAATATGTTGTATTTTATTTAGTATTTTAGTTTAATATTATTACTGGCAGGCTTGATTATCAATTAATCACCTAGTCCCCACAAATGAGGTCTGCAGCTGAAGCAAATTTTGTCATATCAAAGTTCACTGCCTCATTTCAGACTAACAATGCAAGGAAACCAAATCATGCTCAAACGTCACATGAATAAACATAAATATATGGGCTTAAAGGAGTATATACTATTAAAGAAGAAGTTACTAACCTTTGATAACATTTCAGTGGCCAAAGTTGAGGTAAAACTTCGAAGATCTATAATGCCCTTGTAGTATTCGGACAACAGAACTTTGAGAAGGAGGAAGACGCTGTCTATGTCACTGAATACTGGGTACTACACTGCAACTTAAATTTAGAGAGTTAGCCATTTCAATCTGAATACAACCGACCACAATGTACAATATAGCGTCACTAGCAGTGTATTCTTCAAAGAATGATGCTGTCCAGTACAGCTACATCAGAACTCAACTGCAGGAATGGTGATGAAGTGCAGTGCAAAACAAGCTCATATCACGCTGTTTTTTAGGCTTTTAGAATTAAATTTAAGGTGCCGTCACAGAATTTTTTTGCCCCTTCAGACCCATCAGGACTGGAAAGGGTCTACTTCTTGTACTTGGTGTGAGAGTTGGAGCCCATGGTGAGGAGAACCGTTCTTGTTGTGGCCCTCAGCCTCCCTTAAGATCTGAGTGCAGGTCATAGTAGAGACTTAGCCTAACCGGTCTCCAATATGTGCTGCCCATATTTTTTGCTGTGATTCTTAAGAGCTGAAATAGCTCTTTCTTCCTCAGTTTACTTAATAAAAAGTTACATAATGATATATTTTACACTACTCTACATTTAAATAAAACACTTTTTTTTTTATTTTTTTTTTTTTTTACAAATTTTAACAATGGCTTTGCTAATGGAGGGGACAATGCATTGCTGCTGAATGGTCTAATGCAGGGGTCACCAACGTGGTGCCCGTGGGCACCAAGGGGCCCTCAAGGACAACATGGTGTCATGGTCTTGGTTCTATTGTTCTTTACTTTGCTCCTTGTTTTCTAGTTTTATTGGTTTAATTCCAGTTTTGTTGTAATTTCTAGATTTATGTTAGCTCTCATGTTTTTCTGTTCTCTATTGCCCTCTTGTGTGTGTGTGTATGTGTGTGTGTGTGTGTGTGTGTTCCTTTCCCCTTGGCTCCCTCGTTGTCTCCTCTCACACCTGCTCCTTGTCAGCTCGTTAGCCCTTCCTTTGTCTCTGTCTGCTATATATTCTCTCCCTCTGCTCTCACTCTTTGTTGGTTCCTTGTCTTTGCTGTCCTCCCATGCTGTTGTCCACGTTCCTTGTCTCTCCCTGGCTCCTCGTGTTTGGTTTTCCCTTGATGTCTCCATAGTTCTGGTTTGCTTTTCATTATTAGTTGGATTTTTGCATTCCTGCCTTTGTTTACCTAGTGATGGTGAGATGAAGCCTCACGAGGCATTGAACCGTTTGGCCAAATAGCTTCAACGATCCCCACAGTTCATGAGGCTTCATGTGAACATGTCACCACCTACTGGTGGAGAGCAGAACTACAGTTTGTAATAAAATCTATATTTCTTTTTTTCCCCTTTAAAGTTCCCTTGAAATTGTTAATGGTTGGTGTGTATGATAAAATCTTTTGTAATTTTTTAAGTGTAAAATTTCTTAGAACAATCATTTAAGGTGCACAGTTTTTCTGCCAGTTTAGTTAAATAAACTCAAGCAGACAGTGAAAGTGTTTGTGCAAATTGGGTAAAACTGGGCAATCAGAATCAGAAATACTTTAATAATCCCAGAGGGAATTTACTTTGATGAGCAATGATGAGAAAAATGAAAGGTGTTAGTCATTGTTATTCAAACATGATAGTTTTTCCACGATTTTTGGTTTTAATCAGGTTGGAAGTTGTGTTCAACCAATCTTTTGACTAAACCGACCTAATTTACCCAATCTATATTTTTACTCGGGCAAAACAATGCAAATTAGTCTCATCAGCCAGTTTAATCATAAATTTCAAAAGTTAAAGGCAGGTCTTGAACCATCAACTTCTACAGTGAGAGCCTGTCTCTTACAGCTGACGCCACCTATGCAGATGATCATAGCAGGGAGAAAATACTACTTAACAGCAACGTGTTAACACTGACTTTGTCCGGTGGTTTGCTCAAATTTTGATCATTACATTGTTTATTCTAACCAAATTAGTTTTAAGCAACTAGATTGGTTGGAAAAACAACCAATCTATTCTTAGAATCTATCCAAACTTTATCCAGCTGAGAGCAGCTCTCCTCCAAACTCCCACATCTTGACTGAACACTGAGGGTGTTTAGATGCCTGTCAAAATTCTTGCGCTTCCCGAACCACTTCCCGAAGCGGTCATGTGGTATCACGGTAGCGAGGCCTCAGACGTCATTAATTTTGGCCCCGCCTCTAAATGAATCACGCCTCGACACGCGCTTCGGGGAAACGCCCCCTCCATTACTCGACACACGCCTCGAAGCTCATCTCATAACATCACTATGTTTACCTTTTTGATTAAATCCACAAGAAATCACCTCAGCCTCTGCGTTTGGGTCCTCAAACCTCAACTAACCCTGACACATTGGGTGCCTTCAGCATCTTTTGAAAACAGAACAATTTACCAGTGGACTAATTCTGAAATGTTATTTTTTACTGAAGCTCTTATTTTGAAGCATTTATGAAGCATTTTATCATATCAATAAATTAGAACATTTGAGGATTTATATGGATTTCATAATGAGAATATCTAAAAGCAAATAAAAAATGAAAAGAAACAATAGAAATGTTTATTATCTATGAAGTTCAGGTGAACGCCGACTCCTCTAGTTCATAGGTCAGTATTGGTAGCCCGTCCTATGAGTCAGTACCCATAAAGTAGCCCTCAGCCTTAAAAAAGTTGGTGACCCCTGCTCTAATGCATCAGCCAACACATAGCCGATACTGATCTAAGAAAAAAAAAACAAATCAGCCAAAAATATCAGCCGACCAGTCTGAGTTCATATGTTCTTAAAACAATCAGAAGTCTTTAATGACATTATGTCACCATATTGACATTTTTCTAAAAGAGAGTGGCTCAAAATACACATAATAATAAACAGTCATTAGTTAATTATTTTCCACAAAGAGTGAACGTCACTAGAGTAAGTACTTAAAAAGCGTAAAAATGAGAACACATGCATACACTGAAAATGGCATACAGTAGTATCTACATGTAGTGCAGCTTATGCTGGAACAGTCTATGAAATGCGCTGGCGGTATATTGATTTTCAGCAGGGAGATATTTGGTTATAGAGCTTTGAGAAAGAAGTTGTTTCTAAATCTGAAAAACATAAGAAAAGCTACTAACTTTAGCTTTTATTGATTTTCTTCTCATGTGGTTAAAACCGTGGTAGTATTTAATGTCTTTTTTGCGTTGCATTTGTGCTCTTATTTCTATTCTAATTTTGCCTTTTCTATATCATATTTGGTATTAATCTTCTTGCTATTTATTCTGTTTTTTGTCTTTGTCTTTAACAACTGAATTTCCGCTTTGTGGCACTGTCTGTATTCACATTCTGCATTAACATTAACCTATGTGCGCACATGTATTTACCTTTTGTTTATGTAATGACTTCCTTTTTATACCTTTGCATTCTGGGGAAAAGGTCTCTGCATTGCCACTCTAAAGGTCATCTTCCTGAGACAAAAAGGAAGTCGGTTCTCACAGCAACTTTAATACAGATTCTAGTTTTCTCTATGAATATTTTTTGCACTTCTCCTGGCTTTCGGTACATCAGCTCTTTCAC